AGTTTTTGCTTTCGATGTACTTATTTTAAAGGTTTTGCAATTGTGAACTTGGTTAGGTAGATAGATGATTGAATTATGTTTTGATTTATTTTCTAGTTAGTGGATTGATGAATTTAGTTAAATGCTCTCACATTTTTTACTCTTGCCATTATGATCATTACTCATGAGATTTTTGAAAAGTGATGTTTATGTAACTGTAAATTGAACATTTTCATAACGATTTTCTCTAAATTTTAAACTCAACTTTTTTTTCTAAAATATGTGGATTGATTTATAAGCATGTCGTTTATTTTAAAGAAAAAAAATAAATAATTGAATCATTATAGTTTGTCATTTTGCCTTTTTCCTTGCTTTTTTACATAAGTAATCAAGCAGGTCATCGGATTTCAACGCAACAAAAATTTTACAAAAAATTGGGTCCAAATTCGGATTTCACAATTTTTGAGGACTATAAATAATTTTGATTGTATTGCCAAATTGTTTAGATTTATCGGGTTAATCACCATGTATTATTTTGTTTTACGAAGAAAAATCTCATACCAATAAAATAATAAAATTGAAAATTGAAACCTGAAAATTAAAAACTGAATGCTGAATTTTAAGAGTTATATGCTAAATTTTTAATTCGCAGGCTCTTTGATACTCACTGAAATTTAAGTACCAAATTAACATNGTTATATGCTAAATTTTTAATTCGCAGGCTCTTTGATACTCACTGAAATTTAAGTACTAAATTAAAGCNAGAGTTATATGCTAAATTTTTAATTCGCAGGCTCTTTGATACTCACTGAAATTTAAGTACCAAATTAACATAAACTATTTAATAATTACATAGAACTGAATTAGAATATAAACTATTTACCTTTTTCACTCTTAATTTCGAAAATATTATCACTACAAGTAATTCATAGCATAAATTTAGTCTAATACATAGAAATAATTGAACTAGAAAAAAATGAAACAATAGAAAATTCAACAAACATGCATAAAACAATTGAATAAATTTGATAAAAAAAATGAACAAATGAACGGTTAACCAAACAANATTTGTTAAAAACCGTTCGGGTTGAACAGTTTAGGCAAGAACCGTTCGGTTCAGCATTTTTTTGCTGGGTTTTATACCGAAACGATCTAAGTAACCAGCCCGGTTTAGTGGCCGGTTCACCTTGTTACCGGGTAAACCCGTGCAGGTCGGACCGGATTTTAAAACACTAAAATAAAGAATTGTGAAATATTTTAGAATAAAATTATTTTATTGAAAAATTATAAAAGATACTCTTCTTAAGCTTTTTTAATTTTCATAATTAAGTAAGAGATATTATACTTAATATTTTATTTTATTTTTAAAGAACACTTAAAATATTAAAAAAAATTAATTTTAATTTTTAAATAATTTAATTTATAAATGTCAAATATATTTATTTTCGAAAAATGGACGGAGGCTGATAATCGGACGGATCCAGAGGCACAATCCGGGTTCTGGGGTAGAGAGGTAGAGGTTGGTCTTGGTGGTTTTGACTGGGAAGGGAGTTGTATGGGTGGTTTGAAAGGTGTGAATTTGCCCTACATCCTGATGGCAGGGAAAGACCGAGGCATCAAATGAGCTACCGTTCAAAATTTACAATCATCGAAGGTTAAAGTTATAATTTTTTTTGATACGTAAGTTATAATTTTTAAATGTCATAATAGATTGAAATTAATAATAAAATTATAATTTTTAAATGTCAAGTTATAACTCATAAAGAGAAGTTATAATTTTTCAATAGAAATTCATGATTGATCATATATACCTGTGATCGATCATAATTTCTTTGATCGAATATGAACTTTTCAGTTGTAACTTTTTTTTTGAATTATAATTTTATTATAAAAATAATAAATATTAACACGGTATCAAGACGATACCATAGACTTTCCCTTAAAGGCAACACATTAATTGCACCATCTTTTGTTGACCATGTCCCACGAGTCACGACAAAGCTTCGCTAGAGGGTTAGTACAATTTTGCAAAATAAAAAAAAATATGTTTATACTGCAGTGTAACTTGGACGGGTTAAACCGGTTAGACAAACGATCCTAGTTTAATTCTATGTATATAATCTTTAACACTAATTCAATCTTTTGGCTTGGGAATTAAACTTGAGCACTGTTTGAGTTTAATTCGGGTTGATAATTTCGAATTGATTTTGAGTTATTTTATGAGTTCAATTCGGATAAAACTTAAAATAGACTTATTATTCTAAACATAATACATATATTACATAATATTCACCTAAGTTAACAACTAATAACTTCAACGAGGTTAAGAGAACGAGAGAAACAAAGAGAACGAGAGAGACAGAGAACGATAGAACAAAAATGAAAAATCAGTGTTAATATTTTATATAATATATATATATATAATTTTTTTTTAATTTGTCGGGTTCAGATTGAACTCGAATTCACGAGCTCCTAACCCGAGCTCAACCCAAATTAAATTCGGGTTGAAATTTTTTGACCCAAGCCCAATTAAAGTATTAAAAATCTATTGCCCAATCCCTAATTTTTTCGGGTTAGGTTTGGGTTAAAATCGAGTTACCCAACCCAAGTTGCATCCCTAGTTTCTACGATGACAAAAAAAAAATTATAAACAATGTCATTGTAATTTAAACTTAAAAAAAAAAACTTTCAATTGACAATTCTAATTCTGAACGGCAATGACAACACGAATTATATGATTGCTTGATGCTAAACTTGTATCACTCATTTCTATTGCTTGTAACGTTTCTCAAGCTTCGCAAACTAATAAGAACACCATTCAATAATTAGTTTCTTGTTCGATACATTTATTGATAACGAATTGTCGTTTTTTTTTATTGGAGTTATTCTTTTGTTGTTAGCGTAATAATTAAAAAACATACCATAATCTAATCAATTCGTATCAAACATTCATTTACTGCTATTTTAAATCATCTTACTTGTTTGTTTATGTTTATAGGATAAACTAGGGATAACTCGTGTCTTAGAAATGATACAATGTGAATAACTTTGAAAAAGAAGGTAGTGACCGTTGCAAAAAAAAAAAAGAAAAAATTGAATGACTCGATAATATCAAGTGAAAAAATACCTTAATTTTATTATTTTCACTCAAATATATATTTTTGTCGTTAAGTTGCATCATCTTACTTATTGCTGCTAAAATAGGAATGCAATCCAAAGGTTTGGTACTCATTCTTATGTATGTAGTAAATAATAAATGCACATACCTAACTTGCTGAAATTCAATTCTCCAACATAAAATGGACATTGACCATTAGGATAGTTCGAGTGATTTCCTCCGTCCTAAACATCGAGATGGTAGATAAATACGAGATTCGAATTTTAAGGTAATTCAAGTGATAATAAAAATGAGCTATAAATTTAGATATTCTGAGTTTGAATTTGACAATCTCCTGTGACTAGCTTATACAGAATTTATCCCTCGTGAATATATTTAATTTTAAAGTGGATGATGTACCTTTGATCGGGAAGAATAAGGGCTTAGTCGAGATACGCGTAATTTAACTTATGCACCCTTGACCGTTTAAAAAAAAAAAGGAAAAAAAACTTAAGTGTCCCACGATTCAAAATTGCACCACCCAACATAAGGTAAGTTCACAATCTATGTCACTTAAATTGGTGATCTCAAATTGTAACTCAAATCACAAATTAAACTACAATACTAATAATTTCAATTTATAAGTAACCCTAATTAAGAATTGTATCTGATTATTTTTTAATTTTGACAATGTTTAAACCTATATTACAATTTGTGTTATTTGAATTCTTTTTTCATGTAAGTTAGCTTTTATTAGTTGTAAGAATTAGCCAGTACATCGTCTTTGATTATGGTTTGATGTAGAACTTGATCAGAGATGTGCATTTAGTTAATCAAGTATACCTACATACTTCTATGTTAAAGTGAAATTGATCAAGAAATTATGATTTAAAATAATGTACCCATTAAGGTATTCTAATTGCACCACGTATCAGATATGACTTACCAATACTCACTCACACCGTGTATTATATCAATCCCCGATACAAATTACATTGTTCTTGTCGATCCTCTTTTCTTTAGAAATATATATCAGATCTATTTAATCAATTTTCTTAATCTAAATTGAACTCTATTATTTACATACTAATATTTGATCTGATTCATATTATAAACCACATATTTGAAAATATGATGCAATTAAATAATTATATAAGTTATTCGAATCGGATCAAATTTTTAACATGTTCGGTTATGAATACTGAGATGAAATCCCTCAAAAATTTGAATAGATTCGAATTAAACCGTATTTGAATTTGGATCCGAGTAAACTCGGATTCTGAACGGTTGAGACGTGAAGGTATTACTTAAAAAGGAAAGATCTCCTGCATTCATAGCTTTGATTGTGGGACACACGACTATTCGTATGGACAGTCCAGTTCAACTCAAACCGTAAACCGCCCCGCAGAGAAAAGAAAACCCTAGGCGAATGAAAACTGGAAGGTGATTGTCACGTGTACCAAGTGGGTTCTCCTCTAAGTTAGAGAGAGAGAGAGAGAGAGAGAGAGAGGAAAAGAGTCGAGCGTTTAGAGTCTGTAGACCGAGCGTTTAGAGTCTGTAGACCGCGTTTAGAGTCTGTAGACCCACTCCCCAACAAAAAGGAGAGAAAAAACGAAGGAGCACTGGAACCTACTCCTTCCTTCCTCTCCCCCAAACAACCTACTCTTTCCTTCCTCTCCCCAAACAGAACCGTAGATCCGGATATATACATACACCATAACCATATATATATATATACACACCCCTCTGAACCCACTCCATTTTCATTCACCAACCCAACCCATTTGCCCTTTATATATAGCCTGTCTCCCTAGGCGCTACCCCCTTCTCTTTCTCTCTTTCCTCCAACNATACATACACCATAACCATATATATATATACACACACCCCTCTGACCCCACTCCATTTTCATTCACCAACCCAACCCATTTGCCCTTTATATATAGCCTGTCTCCCTAGGCGCTACCCTCTTCTCTTTCTCTATTTCCTCCAATCCTCCTCCCTCTTGTATTTTCTCCAGCTCTGCACACAGTTATCTCATCTGGTAGCTCTGTCTATCTGTTTCTCTATCTGGGTCAGAGATAACCACCAAGACGAGGGCAAATGATGAAGGACGAGTGGGTCACGGAGGCGTTAGTGGATGACATGGTAGTGGTGGAGCTGCTGTGTCGGCTCAAACAGTCATCGCCGGAACCACCGCCGGTTCTTCCGCCGCTAGGGTGGGGTAACCGTCAGCCGCGGTCGAAGCTGGTCACGATGAGGAAGGAGTCGTCGACGACGTTTAGTCCTACGACGCCGCTGTCTTGGAGCGGCGGCGTTGGCGGCTCCGCTACGCCTAGCGACGGTGAGTCCAGCCTGCCATCCGATCTATCCTCCGGTGCCAGATCCAAGGTTTGTGTCAGCTTCCCCCCTCTCTCTCTCTCTCCATCTATCTCTCTCTGTACTTCTTCTTCATCTCCGGCGGTGGTGTCAGATTTCTGGCCACCTGACTTTCTTATACTTCTTCTTCATTTCCCAACGGACCAGTTTAATGACGTTGGATGGCNTCTCCGGCGGTGGTGTCAGATTTCTGGCCACCTGACTTTCTTATACTTCTTCTTCATCTCCCAACGGACCAGTTCTCTTTGTTCCTAGGCAAGGACACAGATCGTTTTTTTTTTTTTTTGCAACTTGCGTTTTGTTTTCAATCTTATCTTACATGATGAGAGCGTCGGCGTCATCTTTATGGTCATCCGATCTCTCTAGTGTCTGTCTTTTTCTTGGTGTGACCGATATACCCCCTCATGGATGGGTTTAAGGATGTGTTCTGCGTTTTGGTCCCGTTGTTTGTCAATCCATCGAAAACATTCCTATCATTTTTNTCTAGTGTCTGTCTTTTTCTTGGTGTGACCGATATACCCCCTCATGGATGGGTTTAAAGATGTGTTCTGCGTTTTGGTCCCGTTGTTTGTCAATCCATCGAAAACATTCCTATCATTTTGTTTCCTCTTCAAAGCAAAGAATTTGATTTTTGACAATTTTACCCTCCGTTTTAATCTTATTTTCTTCGTAATCGTCTTTCCAGTTCTCGGCGATGGCGTCAGCTGTCTGGCGATGTGATCTATACAGTGACATTCTTCTTTTTTATGGTTTGACCGGATTACCCCATGGTGTTTTAATATAATTGCGCTTTCTGAGTTTTTGAGGTCTCCATCTATGGACGACGAGACGTTGATGTCTTTGAAAATGCCAATTTTCTGTTATTTTATGACCATTTTGACCTTCTTCATCAATCTAATTTACTTCTCGTTGGGCTTGGTGGGAGTTGTCAGTTGCGGGCCACCGTTTCTTCATCGTTTTCAGTTATAGCATACACCCTCGAGCCCACTAGGGGGCATTCCGGTCAATTCCCAATATTCGGACTACAGTCGTCTCTCCGATCGGCGGTCATCGGATCATCGATGATGGTGTCTTTCTATTTTCTTTCTGTGTGCGTATCATATTCAACTTTTTATTACAAAATTGCCCTTGGGTAGGAATTGGAGTCACGTAGATAAAAATCGAGAGATGCTCTCTCTCGTTTTGTCTCCAGTCACCTGTCAATCTTGTTGGTTGGGCTGTTTTCCTTTCTCAAATGTTCTTTCGATTTAAAAAAGAAAAGGTGATTTGTTTCCATTTGACCAAATCACCCTCACTGGTGATGACTTTCAGTCGGGGGTTAAAAAAATAAATAAAGAGGATACCCTTTTTTGATTGGAAAATTCTCCCTAATTTGGTTGGTTTATTTGTCATTTCACTAAGGGGTGGTGAAATGGTCGGATGGACCCCAGAGGAGGAGGAAGGGGGAGGGGGCTGAGAGAGTTATATTGTTTCTTTGTTGTTGGGTTTATTTTTTGGGTGGGGGTTGGGGTTTGTAATGGTGGGGGAGCGTATTCAGGTGGGAGCACTTTTGCAAGCCTGCTGACTATTGTTTTATTTGAGTTTTTTAGTTAGTGTGTGTGTGTGTGTGTGAGAGAGAGAGAGAGAGAGAGAAGGGGGGGGTTATCGGATTTCTGATCTTAAGGTCACATCACTGCTAGAAAGAGTCTTGATGTGATGCGCAAATCAAGATTCATGCAATCCAATTTTATACATGGGCTTCGGGTCCTTTAGGTTGTGGGAAATTGGTTTCAGGATGAGAAGGCATCTTACCCAGAAAAACATTTCAATGATGGGTAGACATAGTGGTAGATCTTGGTTTGATTTATTTATAGTCATGGATTGTGAAAATAATAAAGTAAAAAGTTTATACATGTCATGTTTTTATTGAACAAGAAGAGATGTGATGGCGAAAAGCAATATTTCAAGACTATAGCGGACGCTTGGTTTGAACGGGGACTCGTTATGGGTTATCGGATGGATTATGGGGCGAGGCATTTGAGTTATGATCTGTCGTGGGCTCTAAGGTCATCCATTTTGTGTTGGAACAAGTAGGGGCTCATATCCTCTTTCTCTATGAGGAAGCTGAGAGTAATTAGATGAGTAATGCTGCTACTAAAGAACAAAAGATGTGTAATGTGGTGGTGCGGTTATCATGTAGTTTTTTTTTTGGTAAGTTATGATAGCATTTGTTCATTAGCATTAGGCCCATTCAACAGTTAACACGTTATTCCTATATGCTTTTTGTGTATTGATTTGGAAATGTGTGTATAAACTTATTTTGAAACATATGATGGATGTTTTCAGGGCCCTTTTACAAGCGAAATCAACTCCATGTGCACTACCACCAACGCTTCAAGAAGAAAGAAGGTAAGTTTAAGCCTGCACCTTTGATATGCAGCATTTGTACTTTGTTGGTTCGTGTTTATATGATTTGCTCAAGTTGTCCATATGCTGCATGTTCTTTTAGGGCTGAACTGTGTTAATCAGTCTTCTCAACGAAGATAGAATTTTCCTCTGTAATCATGTAATTCTCATGGAAGTTTTATTAATTTCGGCAGACTTTCAGTGAACTTAAGGAGGAAGCGAATGTACTGTTGAAGGAAAGACGACATTTGAAGAGGGTATATTTTTTTCTAAGTTTCAATTACTAACATCTTCTTGTTGTCAACTTTTTTCCGTGATCCTAATTTGTCCACTGTATTGACACCTGTCAAACAGGAGTTAGCATCTATGCAGGTAACTCTGAAAGAACAGAGGGACAGAAGGGAGAACTTAAAGAGAATCAAGGTGCACTTTCTCGTTTCTCCTGCTAGATTTTGTATGATAGTAAGAGAACTCAGATGGATGATGACGAAATCATCTGATCATTTTAGCATGCAACCATGTGTATGGACTATGGATTGTGGTTCACCTTTAAAGGGTTAATTCCATTCCACGTGTAATGTGTGTATGGTGATTAAAACTAAGAAACTTCAGTTTAAGATTTTCCCCAGGACCCTTGTACTAATGTTAAATCCAACTGGCTTGTTTGGCTTTGTCTTAAGACTTAAAAAAAGTTTTGTCATCTGCGATGGGTCGTCTGGCTCTTGCTCAAAGATTGCTGGAAACACTGAAGTATTGTGCACTTGATGCTTTCCATCCCCTGCTCCATGGAATTTGTACCTGTCCATCACTCGATCTGATTCTGCTTACCTACCAGAATAAATTCAGTCTACCTTCTGAGATCTGCACTCTATTTAGCCTTGCCTTCGTGCTTCACAATCCAGTAGAATTGTCTTCATAGATGTAGTGATGATTTCACAATACAATTTGAGTTTATTTGAGGGAATTAATTAGTAATGAAAATTTGGACGTGCAAGAACATATTAACTCCAAGCTCTAGTTGTTGACATTGCATCTCTTTTGCAAAGGAGGAACAAATGACATTGTAATTGATGTAGCAGAATTACTGTAATTTTCGCTATGGACCCAGTTGCAAGAACTTGAAACCCTTTCACATTGGATTTTTATGAAAGTTACTTTTAAAATAGTTTTTGAACAATTTTCTTCTCGCCATTTCATCATTTATTTGTTTTCTTAATTCTGATGAAATCTAAGATACAGTGACATTAATGTATTCCTTTCTGCAGCTTGATTTGAGTATGCAATCAGAAAATAAAGTAGATGCACCATCAGATGAACCAGATGCAGCATTTTCCGATCAGTGTAAAAAGATGGAAACATATTCTTTTGATTGTGCACATTCAATTTTGCAAACACATGGTCCACCTGATGAGGTAGCATCATCTGATTCCAATAAGTTTCAAAAAGATGTTGAGGCCCAGAAACAATGCTTCATGCTACCTGATCTAAATATGCCGGCATCTGAGGAAGAAAGGGGTTTTGAGACTACATATGGGATGAGCTGAGGAGAAACTATGCTTTTTTCTCTTCGTTTCTCTAAAGTAAGTGGCGATCATAGTCTCAAGGGGCTGCCTGCTTGGGTCAATAAAGATGATCTGCTCATCCTGAACTCGCATATGGCAAATGGGTCGGTTTTGTAAAGTAGGGAAAATCATCGTCACCCAGAAGCACAGCCACAGATATAACGACTCAGCATATGCCCTTTTTGTGGATTATTGAGAAGCAAAAGAAGCTGGCAAATAGTGAAGAGGATTTTCAGGGCAGTGCAGAGATTTTAGTGGTCAGACGTGTACATATTTGTATTTTCCCTTAGGGTAACCTTGGTTACTTGATTTGAATCATAAATATTATTTCATTCCTTTCTAAGTGTATTGTTGCTAGATGCTATATAAACTTATTGAAGTTAATGTCACAATTTTGCCTACTCTTGGCTCCATCAGATCATTTGAAATGAGCAGAATCAGAATCATGCATTTGCAGACATGATCATAATGGATTGAGAACTTGCACACATTGATTTTCTATCTGACCCCACAAAACCACTTGTGTCTACCTTTTCTGCTGTGTAATTGCCTAGATGATGGGTTGTTCTGTTGAGCTACTGTAGATTGTTCTGTCTACCCTTCACCAGAGTGTTTGTCCTTGAACTGTTTCTGTCTACTATAGCATCAATTGTTTGATGCCACGGCCCAGTTAGTAGTATTTGAGAAGTGAGGATTGTTTGCCTGTTCTGGCTTCTTTATGAGATAGATGGACATAGGTGTTTCTTATTAGCGGTGGTAATTAAGTCATGTTATGTCATATTCGAATTGTGTTCAATTTCTGACACGGGTAACTTGTGAATCCAAAAACTCTAAGATCTAGAGAGAGTATTCTTTTTTCTCAGCTAACTTGGATACACACAGGTTCAACAATAATTTAAACAAGCTATATCGGAAAAACAAATATACATTTTTTTTAGTGAAAATACTAATTAAATGAGTTTGTCCTCTTAGGTTCTAATATTAAACGAAGTTTACTATCGATCTAAATTAAATTCTCAAATTAAATTAAAATAGCATTTTTTATTCATTCAATAATTTTGCCGACAAATGTTCCACCTGATGATATAGCATCACCTGAATCCGGTTAAAGTTACGAAAAGACGTGGAGGCCCAGGAACACTACGAAAAGAGGTTTGATGCTTAATGATACAAGAGTAGTAAACATGCAGTCCAAATAAATTGGCAACGCAAATAAGCATTGGCTGTCCTAACCTATAGAACCCAGGACAACCAAGACATTAGTCAGCTTTACAGCTATTGATATAGCTCAGCAGTTACTGAAACAGTTTAGCAGACACGTCAAAAAAAGGATAGAAGAGGAATTACAATACCGAATTTTATATTGCGTAAAGAATATCATCTCATACCTTTTAAAATGTCACGAGACATTTAAAGAAGAGGGTCTCTAACCGTTAAATATTTTTTTAAATATTCTAACAAACTTGAGGATCACACCATCATTGTTTGATAACCACACTACTCTAATATATAAATAGATAAATTATTGCCTTATCTAAGCCAGAGCAATTGCATTCTCTAATTGTAACCGTCTTCTTCCTCAAATAATACAAACTAAAGGAGTAAGAACCTTGATTANAGAGCAATTGCATTCTCTAATTGTAACCGTCTTCTTCCTCAAATAATACAAACTAAAGGAGTAAGAACCTTGATTATAATAAACTAACCTAACTCTTCAACTTGATAAATCATTTATGTCCTTGTGTTCTTGCTTATTGTTATCTTCCTCACACACTCACGGCTCACACATCACACAGAGCTCATCCAGCTCTCCCAGTTCATGCTTCCCAGATTTATACATCGTCAGTTTGATCTTTCTTTGGCAAGAGGCCGTGGGATTAGGATTAGAATTTTATATTGATCCTTATCCATCCCTCTCAGTTTTTAATGTCTAATTTATGATGGATATGTATCTCAATCATCTTGTCTGTAAATGGAGGTTTTCTACGATGTGGGCCTTATAATTCCCTCGATTCTTGTCAGAAACCATTTACTTTTGTTAGTTTTAATTTTACCAGCATGCCCTTGATTTCCCATTCAATCCAAAACCAATGTTGGGGCTAAATTGGTAAGATTCGTAACAAGTCCGATTAATGAACCATCATGGAGTCATGGGTTTCATCAAGTCCATGACCCCTTATAAGCGAGTTTGATTTAAGAGAAATTTGAAGACCGGTTTCTTTATATGGGTTTATTTGTACTTAAGTCCATTAAAAAAATTTAATTGTTATCAAGTTCATTTTTTGTCAATTTTATCAGACTATTCTTTATTTTTAGAAATCAAATAAAATTAAAAATTAAAACTTCTAAATTTTATGAGCTTGACTAACATTAAAAAAATTTCTCGCTCATATGTATCTATATCCATATATAGGTTAGGACTATATATAAATTTCAATTTTAATTTACGAGTGAATTAAAGGATAATAATTTTTAATTTAATAAGCTACTTTCAAGGTTTTTAAGATTTCTATAATTAAACATAATAACGTTGGTATTTTTGAAATTTAAAACAATAGTGGACTTAAGTACTTATTAGTAAGATAAAAAATGGACTTATAACTAAATAAATTTCATTAACGGACTCAAGTCATTATAAATTCATTCAAGAGGATTCAACTCTAATTTTTACTTGATTTAATTAAACTGGGCCTTGGAGATGAAAGTCATTATCTTAGGGGACTCAAAATTAGGCCTATTAGACTAGACTATTTTGCATAACCCAACCCTCTAAATCTCACCCAATACCACAAACTAATGCGGACTTAAACAACATTCATGCTGCGAGTGAAGCCCAACCAGAACATTCATGCTTCGGATGAAGCCCAACCCACTGTACTTTTGGGCTTCGTTGGGCTTCACAATATAGCTTGAACTGAATTTGATCTTCAGACCTATCTGACAAGACCAGTTTAACCAGGGTTTTTGAGTTTGGTTGAGTTAAAGCATTCCCGAAAGCAAGATGTTATAACGTAATTAATAGTTCAAGTGGTAACAGTGATAAACTATAAATCAAGATGTCTGGAATTTAAATTTGATAATTCCTTGGGTCAGGCCATCATGAATTATCCAATTTCGGCGTGGATGACCTACTTTTAATCAAACTAGAAAGGAAATTAGTCGAGATTTGCGCAACTTGACATGGACACATCTGACCGTTGAAAAAACAAAGAAAAGCAAGATGTTATGAAATCAGCCCATGGTTCCTATAGTACTGTACTACAGGATATGTTCCTAATTTTTTTTTGTTAATAACAAGAAATCTTTGCATTAATCACAAATATCAATTAAACCCAAGAGTTATCAACGGTGATCAAACCCAAGAAGTCCGAGTTTATTATTGCCCAAGTCCAAAATGCAAAGAGTGTATGATTCAATGCTAGGTACTAAACAAAATGCAAGCAGATTATGTGAGTTGGAATGAACTTATTTTTGAATTTAATAGTATAATTACTACTCTAAAACAACTGAGTCTTTTCTCGTTAGGGTACTGTGCGGGCTAGATCCTGCACGATGTATAAAATACTGGGAACAGATCTCTCCCCTGGTGAACTTTGGGTGAGCCGGTTGAGTGGCCAAACACGCCGCTTGAAACAGCCTGCAAGGTACGGTGGCAACCTGGAACGGCAAAGGAAGATCCTGGGAAAGGACGAACGACCCTGTACGTGTGAAAGGTATTTCCTGGAACAAAGGAGAACAAGTTAGAAGGGAGCCGGAGTGTTTTCCGGCGTATCCCCTCCGACGGTCTAGTCAGTCTTTGAATGAGAGAGAGGAAGGAGAAAACACTGAGAAGGATATCTTGTAGTCGAGAGTTTGTGATTGCATACCCGCTTTGCCTTTTGGGAGGAGTATTTATACCTTAGAAGCTCATGATTGCTGTCAGTGTGGTCAGTAGGTGATCATCAGGCACAGGTAGCGTGTGTATTGATTTGATGAGGAATGTCTTCTCTAATTGACTGCTCGGGGTCCCGAGCAATCAATG